TTATTATTATTATTCTTTTATGACTTATTTGAATGTTTTTGAATTCAATATTTTTGCTTTTTGCTAAAATTGCTATTTTTTTGGTCTAAATCAAATTGTAAATCCATTGTTATTTAAAGAATTTTTGTGTTTTTTCATTATTAAGATTAGTTTTCCAAAACATTATTATATCTAATTTGTATAATTTTAAAAAAGTTAGTGAATTTTGTTGTTTGTCTTTGTTGTTAAGTTCTTATACATTTAGTATTGCTATTTTTAATTTGGCTTTTTGAGACATAAATTATATAAAATTATTAAATTTCTTAAATTTGAAAGTGATTTTTCTTCTTACAAGTTTTTTTGTAGAAAAATAATCTTGTCTCATCTTCTTAGATATTCTATTTCTTTTTTTGGTTTTTCTGTTAGTGACTATGATAAAGCTATCTGTTTTTTTATTTTTATTAAAAGAAAAAGCTGTCTTAAGAATATGACTTGTGATGTTTCATAGTTATAAATAACAAGTTTATCTCTTGGCAGTATTTTTATATCTAGTAAGAGATCTTCTTAAGTTATTATTTGTATTTGTTCATCTAATCTGTTATTAATTGTAACTAATTTTACTAAAACTAGATACTAAAGGTTCTATTAATAGTTAAAATTAGTTTTTTTAAAAGCCATATATGTATCATCTTTTATATTATCTAGTTTCAACTATTCAGAATTTTCTGATAATAAGGATTCTTTATTGCTTTGATTATTGCTTTTTAGAGTCTTATTTAACTCTTAAAAGTTATTTGAAAACCTTTTATTGTATTTATGCTCTTTGTATTTTTAGTAGCTAATTTATAGGTTTACTGAATTCTGAAATTGTTAATATTCTTTTTTGACATAGCTTTCTTTTTCACAGAAGTAGTACATTTTAGATTTTAATTTCTATTCTGTTATGACTTTATTGTTTTACATATATATAAAATAAGAAATTTTATTTTCTAAGTTAGAGTTATCTGAGTTTTCAAAGATTATAATACATTGGTCTATAAGGTTTAATGTTTCTTTAATCAATAAAAATTTAATTGATGCAATTCTAAAAACAAACTTAAAGGCTTCTTTTATAGCATCTGATATTGCTTCTTTGTTATTTAGTAGAATATTTCTAATCTTAACTAAAAGAAATAATTTTCTTGAATCTGTAGTAATAAAACCAAAATAGGTTTTATTAAAAATATTAATTTTTTTAAAAGCATGATTAAATTTGTTTTTGTTTTTAAATACAATTTCTAGATATATATATGTTCTTTTTATAAAGTATTGTTTTGCTGCTATAATGTTTTTTTAAGGTTCTTAAATAATAAGACTATAATTTTATTAAAGAAGCTGTACATATCTTGAACATTTATTATTAAAGTATTTTTATTTTTGATCTAATATAACTTCTGTACATGAAGAAAAAGTAGATGAACTGTTTTTTTTTAGCTTTAAAAAAAAACTAAACTACTATTTAGTTAGTATCTCTTTTGGACTTTTTTGTTTGTTATTATTTTTTTGAAAGTTATTATAGATGTTAATTTTATGTACTTTATTTGATAAACTATTATTTTGTAAGTTCTTTGTTACATTTAGTTGTATCTTTAATTTTCTTTATATTGTTTAATATTACTTGTTTCTCAGATATTGTTATGTTTATAATATCTTTAACATGTTAGTTTTGTTTACTTTTTGGTCTTGAATAGTTTTTATTTTCTTTATTTCTAGTTCTACTTTTTGTCCTAGCTTGTTAAATTTTTGCTAGAGATTTCTTTTAGTATCTGCTTTTTTTTTACTTATATTTAATAATCTTTTCTTTGTCAATTATTAAACTTGAAGAACTTAATACATTTTTTTTGTTTTTTTTTTACTTTTTTTTTGTTATTTACTAATGCAATTTTTTTTGTTATTTTTATACTTTTTATATATTGAGATTCTATAAAAGATCTTTTTCTTGAAACAAGAGCAAGGGCTTTTGTTTTAGTAAATACTTTAGTAGTTTATTATTTGCTCTTATTTTTTAAAAAAAAAGTTATCTATTTCAAAACTCATATAGTAAAAAGAAAGTATATACAGATCTTATGTCTATTATTAAGGTGACCTCTTTGATTTTTTAATTTTTTATTAATAATTTTTTTAGTAATATAATTCAATGAACCATTACAGAAAAGCATACAATTGGCTACATGTGTAACTTTTTTATATTATCTATTTAAGAAATCTACTCAAAAGTCTTTACTAATTGTTATATCTAATATCTCTGCTTGAATGTTCTATTTTAAATATTCTGAATCTGCAACTTGTATTAATATCACTAGATTATATTCAGATGCTCAGATTATCATCTCAACTTTAGAACTAATTTATTCTTAAGATAAATCTTCTGAAGGCTTCTGTATCTATTTCATAGCTAACCTAATATTACTATAACTGAACTAACACTTGTGATCAAAGTTATATTATTTAACTAATATGCTCTTATAGAATTTAAACAGATCCTAACATCTACTTCACAACATAACTCTAATACTTAAGTATACTCTTGTCTTTTGTTCAGCTTTTTGTTCAGATTTCCAATTCAGATATTCTGTGTAATACTATAACTAGTCTATTAGTATATTGGGTTAGTTTGATATTTTTTTTTAATTCATTCTGACAGCTTAGTTGGTAGTATTTCTAAGACTTTCAACTTGAAGGTTCTTGTCTGTTTGAATATTTTTTTAAGCTAGCCTTTACAGTAACACTATTAAAGATTTAGTTACTTTTTTACTTAGATCTTTCCAAATAGACTTCTTATTACCTAATTTCAACAAATTTATATGACTATAAAAACTTACTAATGTTTGTATTATCTAATTTGTCAGTTTGCATTCTTTTGTATAACTAATTACACAAATGCTTCATAACTTGCTAGTTATCTGATATAATTGCTATTATAGATATCCTAATCTAATTATTAATAAAAGTTATTATAATATAAATATTATATAAATGATTATCTAAATTTTCATCATTGATAAGATTTGAACATCTAACATACTACTTAAGAAGTTGTTTTGTGTCTTATTTATAAATTTTAAAAAATTAATAATATATATTTTTTTTGATATTAAGATAATCTTTTTGATTTTTTAATTTTATTAATATTTTTTAAATAAAATATTTATATTTAACTAATTATATATGTAACTTTTGTATATTACTTATTTAAAGAGTTTTTTTAAAAATTTTTTACTAATTAATATAACTAATATTCTTATTTAAGTATTTTATTTAAATATTTTGATTTTGTATTTTTGTATTAACTTTACTAGTTATATTCAGATTTTTGTTGCAATTTTAAAACTAACTTATTTTTAAAATAAATCTTTTATTAATTTTTTATATTCTTATTTATAGCTAACTTAATATTATTATAATTAAAACCAACATTTGTAATCAGAATTAATTATTAAATTGTTATATCTTTGTAAAGTTTATATAACCTTAATGTTCTTTTTTATAACTTTATTAATATTTTATTTATATTTACAACTCTTTCTATATTATTATTCCAATAAATTTTGTATGATGTAACTTTATATTCAAATCAATTAATAACAAGGTTTAAAAAACTTTTTTTATTAAGAATTCTTGCTTATATAGATCATCTGTCTTAGGTTCTTTTTTTAAATTAAAATTTTTACAAATTATACTATTAAAAATTATACTATCTTTTTACTTATAATTTCTAAACAAGACAACTATTAGTTAAAACATACTATCAATAAAATCCTAAATCACAAGTACTTACCTTAACATTAAAAAAAAAAAATTAAGTTGTATAGTTAAAGTTAAAAACATAAAGTTGAGAAACATGCTTTTTGATCAAAAACATGTTTCTATTATATGATTTAGAACTATATATTATATAAACACTGTCAAGACAATTTATCTAATTTATTAGAGATTATATCCGACAAAAAATATATATAATTGAAATTTCGAAATACCATTTTCTCTTAACAGTACTCATATGATTGACCAATTCAGTATTGACCAATCAGAATTAAAACCTATTATTGCTAATTACGATAACATATAATTTATATATACATACCAAAAATTTGGGCATTAATTTTAGTGTAACATGCTAATCAAACCAATTTTTGCGAATTAAAATTAAACTATTGCTTATAGTTAAAAGAGTAAGATATATATAGTTTATACCAAAATTTCTCAAGAAAACTTTTTATTAAAAAAAGCAAAAAAATAGGTTCATACAAATAGAAATTTCTTAGTCTTTTTTAGCTTAAACAAGTTTAATTTTTTAAATTATATTTGAGTTACCATTCCTGTCCCAGTCAATGATCAGGGTTTTATCTACATAAATTAACTAATCACATGAAAATCCAGAATGTTGATAATAAGTGCCCTAGCCATGGTAAAAACGAGGTGTCGGATCATGTGATTTCTGACACTCTGAATAACTTTCCCAGAAACACCCTGATGGTTTCACAATTACATGATACCATTATGACGAATGTGGCTTATAATAGCGAATAAAAAATATAATGTATTCGTATGTATATACAGAATCAGTTATAAAATGCAATATATGAATTGTCTCATATTTAATGTATAAATTCAATTGTTGAGAGTTGAGATAATCCTTACTATGTTACTTTATAATGAAATTAGAAAATTCTCTTTATTAAATGGGCCATTATAATTTTACATGGCTGACACAATCATTTCTTTAATTGTATTCAAAGTTTGATAGAATTCTATTAAGCCATATTATATTGTTTCAAAGCAACTAAGAAAGTTAAATGCTAGCAATAATAAAAATTTAATAAGTGGTGAATAAATTAAATACAAGCTTTGCATCCTAGATTTGCAAATATTTTATTAACCCCAAATTTTAATCTGCTAAATAAATAGTTGATTTAAAAAACTATTAAAATTTGAAACTTCTAGGTTAATAAAAATAAATTTGATATATTAAACCTTTTGATTCATAATTGTGATAGCTAGTATACAAAAAACATGTTCTTTTTTAATTTAGTTTAAAAAAAATTTAATAATAAATAGACAAATTTATTAAACTTACCAAGATTTACTGCATATTTAGGTATCGAGTATTGTGTGTATGTTCTTTCCATGTTAGAGGCATCATTCTTTTTCATTTGTATTGCTCTATTTCATTCACCATTTTGTTAACTGAATTAAAGTTTTTTTTAATGCTCTTAATCCATTGAATATTATTGAATGTTTTCTGTTCTTTAAGAATATTAAGTGCTTTAGTTGTTGTAGATATTAATTTATCATACACTCTATCATAATTCTCCTTCTCTTCTGACTCATTTAAATATTGTGTTGTACTATTAATATGATCGAATAAATCCATCGTGTTTACAATATTAATATCAATAAAATCTTGATTTGTTTCTATTAAAAATGGTGCATTATGATTTCTTTTTAAATGATTAAAAAATTCACATATTATGGGACCTTTTTGCTAAATAAGATGTTTACAAATATGGAATCGATTTGTCAAATAATAACTACATCCACAGATCCATCTATTTATATCTGTTATATATAGATTATTAATAGGATGTAATGACAGTCTTTTCCATTCTGATTTTAGTTGTTTAATCCATTCTGGTTTTTTACGTCCAGAATGAATTTGCCGCAATTTACGCATTTGATGAGTAGCTACTTTTGTAATTAAAATGTACAATACAAGATCTAGACGTGGTCTAAAGAATTTGTATAAAAAATCCTGCTTAATGACCTTCCAATGGCCTTCAATAAACATCATTGTTGTAAGAATTGAGATTTGTTCTGTACAAGATGACTGTGCCCATAAAATCCACCTTTTTTCAATGTACCACTCACTCCACAAGTAACTCCATAGTAAAATTAGTGAATGTTCTTTGCAGAACTCATACATTTCTTGAACAGCTGCATTCCATATTTCTGTACTTGTTAAAAATTGTCTGTTGATTGTTGGTATTAGGGGATGCTGATAAAAATGATGTTCCATAATTTTATATACAGTTTCTCTGTATTTTTTTGGGCAAAATTCTTGCGATGATGTAGTAGTATTAAATGGAAATCGGTGGCCAAATTCAGATAAAGGATTATACGAATTTTTTGGAAGTTTAGTACTTGCTAATCGAGTCATAATCGCCCTTTTTAAATGCCATCGACAAAGTTGAACTTTAATGCCTTCCCAGGTAGAGTATGCAGCATTAATCTGGGAAAAGTCTTTATCAGTGAGGAAAAATTGTGGACATATTCCCAAATCATGCATTTTTGTAAGAAACATTTAAATATAATTAGTTCGTATGCCATCCTTGCAGTGCCCATTGTTTTCTAAAAATAAATATGCAAGAGCAAATCCCATACCATTAAATTCCGCATGAAAGCTGTATAATTCAAATCTAAGATTATTAGTATTGTAGGTGACATCAATGTCGCATTCATATACTTCAGCCTTAATTGTTTTAAAAAATTCATACAGGCCAGTTTCAACAGCAAGTGCGCGAACAGGATGTGTTACTTCTAAAATAACTTTATGCTCTTTTTCCCTAAACTATTGAACAGCAGATTCAAAAGCATTTTCATTACGTTTATATCTATCCTGACCTAATTGTGTCCACCAAAAGTGAACTTGACTCAGTTGGATAGAAATATTTAAACCCTTATTTATAAGCCGTGAATATATTTCACAGGGCAATAAATCTATATTTTCCTTAATGAAATCTTTAATATCTTGAGTTACTGTTACATTTTTTGGTTGAGCATGTAGAAAGTCATGTTGAAAATATATCTTCGCTATATTAATTTGTTGATTAATGACTATTCTAATAATGCCGCCGCAGCTAAAACATTCTATTGCTAATGTATCCCGCTGTTTTAATATATCTTGATGTTTCTTAGGCTTATTTGCTAAATTATCCCGTTGAGAGCAACGATACCAGTATGTTACAGTATGTTTTCCCACGTAAGATTGATGATAAATCCATTTGAATTCATCGACATTTTCAATACCCACTATCAGTTCATTTGCCACCTCTCTTGTAGATTTATTTAGAGTTGAGATATCTATGTTACATTCAAAATGAAATGGCGGCATATTTTCTAGATTACCTTCAGATTGTAATTTATACAAATCGATGATTTGGATGATAAAATCTTCAAGGTTATTTAAATCAATTACTTCCTCCAAAGTATTTTCGTCTATAGTGTCTTCCTCCGGATCATCTTCAAGCTGCCTTTTTTTTTTATTTCTTTTTAGCTGTGTGGTTCTACTGCGGCAGTGGGCACAAGTTCGATATTGCTTTATAGTATTGTTTGCTCCAGGGCTAATAAATTCACTAATAGATTGTGTATGATCGCACCCTGAGCAATGTAATGTTGATACAAGAGTTGAGCTTGAGGCTTCCATTATCGATTTACCTTTATCGTTATTGCTTTTAGACAAGAGAGGTTTATTCGGTTTAATTCGAAAAAGGAAATTCTAATAATGATTATCAATAATTTAATTATTGAATACGTACATATCAGTATACGTATTTGGTATACATAATTTATAAGCCACCATAAGTTAATATCACGTGAATGTGAAATCGTCAGGGTGTTTCTGGGGAAGATCGCTCTGAATGATTACCCACCAATCAAAATAACAAATTTTACTTAATTAAAATTTTTTTTTTTTTACAAAATTTTACTATAAGATACGATTTCCTAACCTTAATATTTTCTTGATTTTTAGATATCAGACCGGATGCTTCAGAAATCACATGACCGACACTCGTAATCAATTGACATAAAATACCATACTTTAGAATTTTTATACTTTAATGCACAACATTGTCATTTTCGGAGGCACATCACACCCAGACTTAGCAAGCAGCATTGCTTCACGTTTGGGGTTATCGCTTGGACGTGTAACGCTTTCAAAATTTTCTAACAAAGAGACCAACGTAGAAATCCGCGAGAGTGTTAGAGAACAAGATGTTTACATTATCCAATCTGGCTGTGGACACGTCAATGACAACTTCATGGAGCTTCTGATCATGGTTTCAGCGTGCAAAATTGCTTCAGCAGCAAAGATTACTGCGGTGATACCTTGTTTTCCATATGCAAGACAACCTGATGCTCCTTTTAAAAAAGATGGTACACCTTTGTCACGGCTTCCGAGAGACGCTTTTAGGGGTTATTCTTTTGATGCATCTTGTGAGAGTTCTGCATCAGCAACCCCCTGCACAGAAATAAAGGATCCGTTAGATAAAATCGAACAAAATTCAATCTCAAATTGCACTGATTTGTCCCGATCTGGCAACGTAATTCGTGGCATGGGGGGTTATAAACAGTGGATTGCTCGTTCAGGGACGCTCATTGCTAATCTTCTAATGTGTGCAGGTTATTATATGTCATTTCCGTGAATTATCACAAGCAATATATTTTCCTAGCGTTGAACTATTGCATACCAATTTTTCAGGTGCAGATCACATAATGACAATGGATCTTCATGATCCTCAATTTCAAGGTTTCTTTGACATTCCTGTTGACAATCTTTACGGACAGCCTTTGATGATCAAGTGTATAAAGCAAAACATTCCAGATTGGGAGCAAGCGGTAATTGTTTCCCCGGATGCTGGTGGCGCCAAAAGGTAAGGCAAGACAAAAAGCAGGGTTTTGAAAGTTACTGAAAATTCTATAAGTTGTTTACTGTAACTTACTAATTTGACATATATGAGTAAAAGCATTAATGATATAAATATTGTATAATTTATTTTATATTATTTAGAGCTACGGCAATCGCAGAGAGGCTTCGAATTGACTTTGCTCTTATTCATAAAGAGCGCAGATCTCAAAATAAGCCTCATAAGGCAGATATGATGCTTGTTGGTGATGTTTATGGTAAAGTCTGCATTCTCATAGATGATATTGCAGATACTTCTTATACAATTACCAAGGCAGCCAAAATTCTTCATGAAAATGGTGCTCAAAAGATTTATGCTATTATTACACATGCAATCCTGAGCGGTGATGCTATTCAACGAATTCAAGAAAGTAATATCGATCAAATTTTTGTGAGTGACACTGTTCCGCAAGATGAACATTTGGCACAATGCCCTAAAATAAATGTGTTCAACGTCGCCCCTATGTTCGCTGAAGCTATTAGAAGAACACATAATGGTGAAAGTGTTAGCGCGTTGTTTGAGATTCTGAATTGATATGGTTTATAATATTGCTTTAAGGTCAATTTTTATGTCTTTGACAATATAACACTCGAATTTCAAATGTGCGTATAAATTGCTAATGATAGTGTTTGTAGAATATGAATAGCCAGGAAATTTTAATGTTACTGATGGTTAAAAACTCTCATTAAATGCATTGTAATATTGGAAGTTAACTATACATAAATAATAAGCCTACATCTAATATATTGAAATTTTGTATGTTATTTATTTGTTAAACATCTAATAAAAATAAATAGCTGGTAATACATAATGTTGTCTCGTTGGTGTAGTTGGTTATCACGTCTGTCTAACACACAGACGGTCGGCGGTTCGAATCCGCCACGAGACAAGAAAGAATTTTTTTATTTTTGGTTGTCATTTGAAGTACACATGAATTTGTTCACCGTTATAGCTTTATCAGTATACAAATTTCTTCCGAAAACTAATCATGTAACGGTAGTCATTAATATTTAATAATATATCAATTATTTTTATTATCTATTATAAAATTGTCTCGAGAAAAATACGTCAGATTCTACTATATACTGTAGGTTAGTGATCAAAATCCATGCAACCTCAAGTACTCAGGTATTATCGAAATAAGCAAGAAAGCAAATAATGCACAATATAATGTTAGAATAGTAAAAATATACATTACATGAAAACCGGATGATCAATCTTTTTGCACAGAATCTTTTTTTCTTACACAGATGATTACATCACTAGCGTCTTGCCTGCAAGTCTCGAACAATACATACGAAAGATAAATGGAGAATGAAATGGTTTATAAAAATTCTCTTTAATCATACTTGAGAAAATTGTACTAAAGCCATCTTCACTTTTTCACGAACATCTAAATTTTCATCGTTTGCCATATTTTTCACTATATCCTCAAAACCGAACTGACGTAATTCTCGAACGCGTAGTTGGGAACCTATTCCGTAGATAACCAAAAATCAATAATACAGATAGCAGTGTATCAGTTAATAAAAGAGAATGTCTTACTACTATGTTTATCTTCCATCCATGTTAGATTTATAAGACACCACACTGCAGCGACACGAATGTCAGGATTTTGGTGGCCCATATAGTTCTTAATGTGCGTCAAAATATTAGTCCTTGACATAATAGTTTTTTTATGGTATTCATTACCAGTTGCAATGTTGTTGATGACAAATAAAATCTTTCAAAAAGAATGAAAATATTTAATGCGCTACATCAGTAATGTTTACATCAAATTTGAATAATTAAATTACCTGTTTAATTATTTCATCACTCCAAGAACAAAGTTTACTTTCTATGATGTTCATCAATCGAACTTCGGTTAGTCCTTTAAATACTTCCTCAATATCCTAAGTAAAAAAACATCATCGCATTATTTATAATTAAATAAATGCTAATTTAAATTTTAAAAAAATTCATACTTCTGGTTTTGGACAAGCCAGGTTTCTCAACAAATTTAATGCTTTTTCCTGCACGTCAAGTTCAGGGTCCTCAATCAATCTGTGAAACATATGTATAGGTTAGCTGAATCAAAGTCTTAATACAATTTACTTATAATTCTACTTACTTTTCCATAGTTATGTATGTCAAAACTTCCATCACTCTGTATTTAACCTCAGACTCAGCATGATAGACTAAATTCTTCAATGCCCATATTGCATTAAGCCTTAGCGTATTATCCGGAGAATGTACCAATTTAACTAATTTTTCTATCCCTCCTTGTTCCATAATTTGCTGTTACGTTGAAATGAAGTACATTCAGTAAGTCAAGTAAAATAATAAAATCATATGCTTATTTAAATACCTTTCTCATAGGCGAAAATTCCAGTACTATATTACAAAGAGTAGCACACGCCATGGTTTGCACATCGGTCGACTCGTCAGATAATAACTATATTTTACAGTCAACCGTTAGTAATCGAATTTATAAAATATGCACATAATCTAATCACAGAATTGCGATAACTTTACTTTAAATAGAGGCGTTGCGATTCCCGCATCTACAAGGTTGGTGCGTAATATATGAACAGATCTTGAAAGACTTCGGGTGCATTGACATGCAGCAGCACGAACTCCATAAGAACGATGTGACATTGCTGCAACTATATGAGGGATTATTTTGGCATCAACAACCTTTAAATAAAAGAACATTATGATCAAGCCGACACCTCGTAAATTTAATTATAATTAGCACCAAACAATGTCTTACCAGCTTTCGACCTTCATCAGTTAAAGAACTTATAGCCGCAAGAGCCATGAGGGCATTCTAATTTTTAATGTAAAATTTTAAACCAATTCAATACAAAACAATTTCTTATTTAAAAAAACAATGTATACCTCCTTCAATTTATCACCGTCACCCAGAGGGTCATAATATGAACTATTCTGATCACCAATATGGGTAACAAAATCTGCCAATTTCGGTACAGCTTCAGAATCACAAGCGGCTTTTTGTAATTCTTCATTATCACGAATCAAATAAGCTAATAAATAGCAAATTCAGAAAATGAACATCATGAGAAACAAAATGTTGCAGATATATAGTGTAGAAAACGAAATACCTAAAACATGCGGACCTTCTTCTCGTACAGGACCTTTTTCGTCAAGTAATTTGACTAATGTTGGCAATACAGCCAATGTAATATCATTAAAGTATTCGTCGATCGCTTTCGCACGACACAGATGCGTCAAGCTTAAAAAATGAAATTATGATCGCTGAATTTAAGTTATGCGAACTTTATAGCTTAACGACATTTGAAGTTAACGCGTACCATTTAGCCGATATTAGTCGCATTGTCGGTGATTTGTCGCGAATTAAATTTAGCATAATTTTGACCGGACTCTCATTGGTTTCAGCTATAAAAAAAAATATTACGATTTTTGAACAATGCATAAAATATTCAAATTATTGGTATTTACATTTTGTCTTAACGATTTCCTTGCCAAAGTCAGAGTTTTCACGACAAAGGTATGCAAGCGCATCCAAAGCAGCTTCTTGAGCTTTAGAGAACCCACAAGTTAATAAATTGACCAATTTAGGAAAGGCACCCGCTTGTGCAATCTGGATCTGCTGTTCGTTGGTATCACAACAACGTGCAATTATAGTCGCAGCCAATTCAGCAGTATGTACCGACGCGATCTTTTCACGATCTGTTTTCGGATTAAGCGCATCAGGATCAAGAAGAGTAATAAGGTCTTGGAGATGATAACCCTATAAAATAATTTGTTAATAAGATTAAGATTAAAATGAATAAAAAAAAATAAATAACAAATTGGTTATCATTAATTCTTACTTGAAATATGTCATTTTTATCCGCAGTTGGACATTTATAAATGGCTTTTAGAGCACGAGCAGCTGCTTCGATTAATCTAGGATCATTTTTTGACGATATACATTCTAATAAAGGTTTAACGGCTTCATGCTTTACTATCTCGGTAACATTCTCTTCACCACCTTTTAACAAAATAAGAGATCCATTAACTTTCGCATATTATTCCTACTTCCATTCAAAAGAATTTTGAGAGTTTAATATAAAAAAAAGCCCGAACCATAAGCAAAGCTGCCCAAGACGATCGCCGCCTGGATTTGAACTTGAGGATCAACACCCTCATTTTCTGTGAAAAAAGTGACAAGTCTGAGCATAATAAAAGACATCGCGGGTACAAATGTTAAATATCATAAATATTTCACAAAAATAATTCCAGTAGATAATAAGGCGTACTTTGGAATAACGTTAAGTCCGATGTAAAGATCCTTTTTTGTTTTATTTCCAATGATATTATTTTTTATAAAGCGTAAAGCTTTTACACGAACAGCCGGATCAGGAGAGTCTAAATCTAAAACAGCTTGATTATGTTTATTAGAATTCATGCTTTTATTATGAACGTGAAAATCTTTTAACGATTGCTTGAAGTTGAGTATTATGTTGAGTTCATCAAATCAAATCGTGTAACTTTTTTGCAAGCTTGGTCACGTGGATTAAATTTTCTGTGCGTCATTATTCAGAGCTGAGTAAGTCTGCAAGGATCCTAACATTTTATATTCTAGATTCAATATAAATTAAGAAAATTTCGTACGTACGTAGTAAATTGCAATCTAGTTTCTTACTACGTATATCGATATATAAACGGTCAATACGTAATAGTTTTCGTATTTCATTAGAAAATCTCGTCTAATTAGGCCATGCAAAATAATTGGTTTTCGTGGGTTATGAAAAATATTAACAATCGTTATTATAAAATCTTGAAATATTTTTCAATCATTTTTTTTATTCAACTATCCAAATTGTAAATATAGCATACCAAAATTCATCACTTTAAATACATTCTTGCCAACAGCCTGTTTTTGTAAATTCTTTTTTTTTGTGTATCCGGTAGAACACTAAGTCTGATTGGTCACAAATATCATGACTACGGCAAAAGAGCAAACGCGATTAAAATCGAACGCATTTTTTTCTTTTTTTTTTTAAAAAAAAAAATCAAAATGTTTCATTCTGTTAAACCAACACAATTATCGGTAATAGAAGGCCTCATTCCACCAATTCGCCAAAAATCATTTTACCAATTTGACAACAATTCTTCACCTTACATTTATGACATCACAGCTACCTCCACACATTGTTTTATATCCGATTCAATTCATCAAATTACTTCCTTTGCATATACGAATTCTAACCTTACATTCAGTGGTAAATTAGCCTACCATACTGATACAATAACAAAACTCAAAATACATAAAAACCAGTTCATTATTTCGAGTTCAAAGGACGGTCGTATTGCTTTATGGGATCTAAGAACCCCGAATAGTCAACCAACTAATGTTTTCCAAGGTATTCTATGTCTTCGCGAAATCTAATAAAACACAATCTAAAATTTACAGAATTGATTTAATTGATCAAGCAAAAAATAGTGAGCCTTTGTTATCGTTTGACATCAACAATTCCGGCACGATATTGGCAGCCGGTACTGAGCTCGTAGAAGAAGATGCAAAGATCCTCTTCTGGTACGTGAAAACTAAAAATTCGCATTGATTCATTATATAAACATACATATTTTTGCATTTATCTCTTCCTTAGGGACTTAAGACAACCCTTTCATGTCGCTTTTGAATTCATCGAATCACATAACGATGATGTTACACAGATTCAATTCCATCCAACAAATGACTCTTGCTTTATCAGCGGTTCTGTCGATGGTTTGATATGCAACTTTGAACTGAAAAGCTTTAACGAAGACGATGAACTAGTCGGCGTGATAAATTCTGGATCATCGATCAATAAAGCTGGTTATTTCGGACCAAGTGCTGAATACGTATATTGCTTAACTCACACAGAAACATTCAGTTTATGGGGTTTATCTGATGTATGTGAATTATAATATGTAATTTGGACTATGTTATAATATTAATATTAATAATTTACATTTGCTTTGTTTTTAGGTTAACTTACTTTGTGATATGGGAGATATTCGACAGGACGACAGCAAAGGAGGTACCATTCAAATTGATTACGCTGTCGATTGTCAGTTCGATTTTTCCACTAATCGACTGTACCTTTTTGCTGGTTCGAACCGGTAAGTGTTTGTACGAATTGGTTTATCATCTATCAACTTGTAACGATTAATGGCACGACATTGCTTGTATAGCGGAGGTATTAGTATTTTGCATGTTGCTATTAATGAACTACAATTATGTCAAACGCTAAATGGTGGCCATTCTGATATCGTGAGAAGTGTAATCTGGAATCCGCAGGTAATGTACTAAAGATGAATGTTCGTCACATTTTATGTCACTTATTCATATTGTTTTAGATAAATATATTTCTTTCCGGTGGAGAAGATTCAAAATTGTGTATATGGGGACTTTAATCAGTATCAACATATAAATGTTTTGTCGTAATGTACAATAAATAGATAAATATTGATTTATTTATCGATATTATTTATGCTATTATGTGAAATTTTTTAAGCGCATATTGATATATATTTGATATAATCATATATTTACGGTATATGTATAAGAGTACAACTATTAGCCAACAATTTTAATATTATTCTAAACTGACGTTTTTAAATTACCATTATAAATTTTCTCAAAATTGTCGAGAATACAAACCAAGTTAAAAAAAAACAAAACGGTATATTTTACAAAGTATGTGTAAATCGGTTTTATATTTAACTGGTCGTTGTCTATATATAAAGCGTAAAGGGAAATAATGGAGCGAGAAATGGATGTAATAGGCACTCTAATGGAGTCGGTCGCTTAGACGGATCATATTCGAATATATGATTAACGAAACTAATGAAATTGCTGTCATTGGTCCTTAAGACTTTGGAAAGTCGTTTAGTTCGTAGAACATCGGACCTAATTTATAGTTCAAAAATGGTCGATTGCATGTCAGATAATTATGTGCGTAATAATAAGATTGTACAGTAAACGTTACACTAACATGTTTTTATCATTGCCATTTAGATTCATTGATATTAAATCGGATTTAATATTGTATTTTGCAAAAAATTTGCCATTCGCATATATCGAATCCGGAAAAGGGCCTAGCAACTGCACGATCTCTCTAATCATTCCTTGTTTACTAGAACTATAAAATAAAGGATGTCCAAGCCATAATTCACAAACAATACACCCAAAAGACCACATGTCAATTTCGAACCCGAATGGAAGTCCCATAAGTACCTGTATAATAAGATGGTCAAATTTAGAATAATAAACTATTCTTCATGATAAGTGATGACTTACCTCCGGTGCTCTGTAAGCAAGAGTTTGAACCTCAAATGTTTCAAAGTAATTACGGATCTCATCCAAACTCATTGCGTTACCAAAGTCAACGACTCTCAACTCTAAAGTAGCAGCTACATATATTAAAGAAAAATTAAACGGACAAATATAAAATCTTTGATCCAGAATTGTCGTGAATATTTTAGTAAATACCCGTTGTACAGATTATATTATCTAATTTAAGATCCGCATGCAAAATCCCCATATGTCTTATGTACATCAAAGCTGTCAAAAGTTGACACGTCAACTTTCGAAGCACCTGTAATCGATATTCTTCATTTGCTATGCGAGGAAGTTTTGGCGTGCCTCCTTGATAATAATCAACTACCAGACAAAAATGTTTGCCAACCATAAATGTATTGATAAGTTTAACAATATGAGTATTGTCATTGTTATCGTGTTTGTTTAGATAACGAAGAGTCTTGCACTCCTAAATGAATTAGCATTTAAGAAAGTATGATATTAATCGATTTCATGAAGAGATGAATATTTTAACACGAACCTGTATTCCAATTGCATTAAATTTTGGAGCCATGATTTTAATTGCAACTAAGCGTCTCTCAAGATAATATAAATCTTCGGCACATACAGCTTGACAAAACGATCCTTCACCTATTTTGTAGAGGACGCGATAACGGCGCGCTAAAATTTGAAAAGGTTGGACGAAATCTGTTGAACATTTATATTAATGGAAATACAAGCCTTATACTAATAGAAATATAAAAGTATCATTAAGACAGAGATTTATTATATTAACCTTGATGATTCGCGTTGATACTATATGTGGAATTATTACTTCGTACTCCATCGACGGGCGCATTCACAGCGACGTGTGGTGACAAGACTTTATTCTGCTGCACAAGCAGCTGCTGGTGCAGTGCTGATAACCCAGCAGTAACTCTTTGTAAAATATTGAAATGAGCTGTCGCTGGTTTACAATTCTTAACGAAGTTACGGTGTATTTGTCGTTGTTTGTGGGAGAATCCATAGTGGTCATGAAGTTTAGTAGAATCCATAAATAACTGCTTATTTATCACTAACGTATAAGAGAGTAAGGTATCCTGACTGTGGCTTAACGCTAAAATTTCTCTAATTTATCATCCTACGTATCGACATGTATTATATCAAATATACATAGCATTTTTACATAAATGCGCTATTCATATTCTTTCTTTCAGTATTAAATATATTGTTATTAGACTTTTTTTTTAGATTTATATTTTAAAGAAATGCTTTTTGTTTTCGCCCAAGAAATAACAATGCAAATACTTGGAAAATTAACAAAATAATTTACCAAGTCTTGGTTAACAAAGTTTTTAAATGACCTTAATAAGCCCATACACAATTAATTAGTTTTCATAACCCGGCCAGCGGCTGGGTCTATTTAACAGTTTCATGTCATTAAAACTCAAGATATTAAATTTTGTGTGGCCTAATATTCTTGGTTTATATAAAGTAAATATATTGTTGATGAAACTTATAAGACATAAAAATACAGCAGACTTCTAGTTGGTTTATGTTAAAGTTTTTCTGCTAGAACAAACTCTAACATGTTTAGTATTCAAATTAAAAAAACGTCTTGAGAATATATTATAACAAAGTTATAATTCAAGAATATTAAAAACTAAAAATACTTTTATACAACTATAAAACCTATGAAAAAAGTATTTACAAAACTTTTGATTTTTACTTTTTCTTTTAAGAATTTTTATTAAAAGTAAATATTTTAGTTAAGAGCTTCTATTCTTTCTATAATATTTTAAAAATAGATTTGTACTTTATATAAAATTTTAATTGAATTTTTAATAAAGATAGAGACATGGTTTTACTATTAATATGTATTAAAAAAAAATTGATATAACCTTTTTTTTAGTATTGTTGTTTTGTTAATTTATATTTATTAGTACAGTTAGACCTCTCTATAGTCATCTTTTTTACAGTTATATTTGTTTATAATTATATAAAGTAACTAAAAATATAATAATACAAAAAAGTAATTTGATATATCAAAAATAATTCAAAAAATAGAATTTTTTTCTAAGCAAGTCAAACTTCATTTACTAAATAAAATTATTAAAATACTATTTTTTAAATATATTTAAATTTTAATATAAGAGAGCATAATGATATTAACCTTCAAGTGGCAGGTCTAGAGTTTAAATCTTATTATTAATAAAATTTTGAATTTTTTTTTGTATTATAGTTAACTGTTTTCTGCTATTGATTAGGATCAGATACCTGTTACTGTGGTATACTAACATAACTAAAAGGTTATATAGCATTTATATAATAGTTATATTTTGTATAAAGAAATACAAAATAGTATTAAATAGTATAAACCTATAATAAGTTCTTATAATTATATAAATTATAGAAACCAGAAAAACAGAAACCTACTTAAAAATCTAAGTAAAGAGGTAATCTAAACTTTTGATAATATTACTGTAAAGACTAGCTCTAAAAAAAGATAATATACTAGTTTTTGAAAAAGAATTATTGTATATAATCAATTAGGTTACTAAAATCTATTTTGAAAAAAAAATTCTAAGATAAAGTGGAATATTGTAATGAGGTTAAAATCATTACATATAAAACTTCATACTTATCATATAAAATCTATATTTTTTTAAAAATATATTTAAACCAAAGCTCAATTTAGATTAGATTTTATATAAATTTTTATTGTATGATATACTGGTTTTAGACAATAATCATTTTGTATATAGAACCAAAATATAGAATTTTGAAAGGAGTAAGGGTATTGTGATAAAATTGGAATTTATGTATAAAAAAATTTTTTTCACTTTATTAACACATAAGGCTTATCATTATACAATTTTTATTTATTAGAAAAAGGAACTTATCAGACTTGGACAACAATTGTTTAATGTCTGTTCGTATGATACATATATACTATATATACTAATGCTAATATACAAACTTAACCTTATTTTTTTTTTTTAGATCTAAATTTTAATCATTTCTATTGTTCAAGTTTGTGAATATAACTTTATTATTTTTATATTATTTTTATTATTCTAGTAAACAATTTAGTATCTCTACTGTATTCTAGTTTTATAATTTTTTTTTGTCTTTTTTTCACTTATATTCTTCTTTTGTTCCAAGTTTCATTGTCATTTAATTTTTTGTTGAGCCACTATTGCTTTTCTCTGGGCTGTCAGCTCTTTTTTCTGGATTGCCAACTCTTTTCTTTGGATCACCAGTTCTTTTTTTTGTTTAGCTACTTTATTCTTTTTTTTTACTTTTTCATTTGCTTATTTTAACTTTTGTAAACTTTTATTATTAGTAAAAAGTTATGCAAATAGAAGTGTCTTTCTTTTTTTAGAAAAAGGACCAAACTCAAAAGAATCCAAAGTTTCAATCTGCAAGGCTCAAGAAAAACAATACTTAAGAACTGAATGCAAAAAACTTGTTCTAGAGCACTTGTAAGTTTCTAATTCTTCTTAAGTAGTTATTAATTGAATTTTTAGTAATTCAACTTCATTATAAAGTGTTTTATTTTCTGACATTAACTGATCAAAATTTTTAAGGATATAATATAAATGATTAGATTAGATAGTTATTAATAAAGATAATATAGTTGGTTGTGAAGATTGACTAGATGAAGGCACTATGTTTGTTACTAATAAAAGATCAAAATAATTTGATAAAGGTTGGCTAGATGAAAGCACTATGTTAAATTATTCTATCACTAATAAAAAATCCAAGTAATCTGAATTAATAGTCTTGAAGTTAAATAGTCATATACCCATAGTCTTAAAAGAATTACAAATAGCTAATGGTGTATAGATCTTAATAAAGACTGGGTTAAAAATTTTTGCAAAAGTATATTTTGTTATTACTTTTTTAGTAGTATTGTAATAAAATTTACTAAAAACTAACAAGCTATAGCAAATTTTAAAGTGATGAGTGTCAAGTAGAAGATCTTTTATTTAAAGAAAAGTAAAATAAATAAAAATAACTAAAAATAAAAAATAAATATTTAAAAATGAAATTTAAATTCAATAGCCTCCTAGATACTATAAGGAGCTTTACAATAGGCCAGTTGTAAAGAAGATTTGACCTATTGTTTTTTTTGTATTAG